AAAAAAAAAAAAAAATGGGTGAAAAGTGGGACATGGTGGCCTGCACTTACAGTCCCAGCTACTCTGGAGGCTGAGGTGGGAGGATCACTTGAGCCTGGGAGGTTGAGGCCACAGTGAGCTATGATCCTGCCACTGCACTCCAGCTTGGGCAACAGAGTGAGACCCCACCTCTAAAGAAAAAAAATCAGGGGACAAAAATGAGCCAAGAAGTCGAATATTCTCTGAAGATATACAGATGACCAACAAGTACATGAAAAGATGTTCAGGCCAGGCGCGGTGGCTCACGCCCATAATCCCAGCACTTTAGGAGGTCCGGGGGGCAGATCACAAGGTCAGAAGTTTGAGACCAGCCTGGCCAACATGGTGAAACCCCCATATCTACTAAAAACACAAAAATTAGCTGGGTGTGGTGGCAGGTGCCTGAAATCCCAGCTGCTTAGGAGGCTGAGGCAGGAAAATTGCATGAACCTGGGAGGCGGAGGTTGCAGTGAGCTGAGATCGTGCCACTGTACTCCAGCCTGGGCGACAGAGTGAGCATCCATCTCGGGGGGCAGGGAGGGGGGGATGTTCAATGTTACAAGTCATTAGGAAAACGCAGATCGAGGCTACCACAAGATATCCGTTAATACGCACTGAGATGGCCATAATTTTAAAAAGAGAGTATAAATAACAAATGTGTTGGAGAGACGGAAAGCCTGGCGCATTGCTGGGAATGTGAAATAAGGCTGTGGCAGTGGAATACAGTTTGGCACCTCCTCAAAAGGTTAAACAGAAAATCACCATAAGGCCCAGTAATTTCAATCCTAGTTACATGTCCAAAAGAACTGAAAACAAGCCGGGCAAGGTGGCTCATGCCTGTAATCCCAGCACTTTGGGAGGCCAAGGCGGGTGGATCATGAGGTCAGGAGTTCAAGACCAGCCTGGCCAAGATGGTGAAACCCCATCTCTACAAAAACTACAAAAAAAAAATAGCCAGGTGTGGTGACAAGCACCTGTAATCCCAGCTACTCAGGGGACTGAGGTAGGAGAATCACTTGAGCCCGGGTGGCAGAGGTTGCAGTGAGCTGAGCTTGTGCCACTGCACTTCAGCCTGGGCGACGGAGGGAGACTCCATCTCAAAAGAAAAAAAAAAATAGAATTGAAAACAAAGACTCTGCTCCCGCCTGTAATCCCAGCACTTTGGGAGGCCAAGGTGGACGGATCACTTGAGGTCAAGAGTTCAAAACCAACCTAACCAACATGGTGAAACCCTGTCTCTACCAAAAAATCCAAAAAAATTAGCTGGACATGGTGGTGTGCCCCTGTAGCCCCAGCTACTCGGGAGGCTGAGGCAGGAGAACTGTTTGAACCCCGGAGGCAGAGGTTGCAGTGAGCCGAGATCTGGCCACTGTACTCTAGCCTGCATGCCAAAGCAACTTTGTCACAAAAAAAAAAAAAAAGAAAAAGAAAGAAACCAAAGACTCAAATAAATACCTGTACACAAATGTTCATAGCAACGCTATTCACAACAGCCAAAAGGGAGAAACAGCTTAAATGCCCAACCGATAAATAGGTCAACAAAATGTGGCATGATAGTACAATGGAATAGTATCTAGTCCGAAAAAGGAAGGAAGTACTGAGCCATGCTACGACACGGATGGACCTTCAAAACATCTGCCTGGGCGAGGTGGTTCACGCCTGTAATCCCAGCACTCTGGGAGGCTGAGGCAGGTGGATCGCCTGAGGTCAGGAGTTCAAAACCAGGCTGATCAACGTGGTAAGACTCCAGTCTGTATTCAAATTCAAAAATCATCTGGGTGTGGTGGCACGCACCTGTAATCCCAGCTACCTGGGAGGCTGAGGCAGGAGAATCACTTGAACCCAGGAGATGGAGGTTGCAGTGAGCCGAGGTCACACCACTGCACTGCAGGCTAGGCAACAGAGTAAGACTCCGTCTTGAAAAAGAAAAGAAAAAAGAAAACATTATGCTAAGTGAAAGACACCAGACACAAAAGGCCACATAGTGTATGACTCCA